GGGAAAGTTTAAATCCCACAACTAAAGTGCTTACGCGGTTTACTACATGACCACCAGACATAATGTTCGTGACAACAGAGCATCCCGCTCCAACACCAATCGTTCGAGGGAGCAGCCACGAAGCCAAGGGCGACATGCTTCTTCATCTTCCCGCCCTAGAAGACGCTATCCTGCCAACGAAGGTGTTTCGGGTCCTTCTATAGAAGATCGAATGCGTAGAATGGAGGAGTCTCAACTAGAAATCATATGGCTCCTATGCGGGGCTCAACAACCGCTGCCCACACCATTAAATCTGCGACGTACGAGAAACATACCGCTCGGAGGAACTCGTACCGGCCCGCCTCCTCAATGAGGAACACATCCCCTGTCAGGTCGTAATGCTGAACTCTTAGATACCACAAGTTCCACTCATTCATCTCGTGCAGCTCATCTGACATCGCCACATCTTCCTGCCATTTCAAATGATGTCATTCGTAATGAACTACCACGCCTCGTCCAGGAAGAGCTTCCCCTAAAGAAAAAGGATCGTTTCTACACTCACCGCAGCATACACGAATCCCTCCCTTAGTGGATGCGGTCCTCCAACATTTCATCCCAACATGCTTCAAGCTTCCGAAAATCGATACATATGAAGGGATAACCGACCCCTACGAACAAAGTGATCATTATCGAACTATCATGCACATTCAACATGCCTCTGATGCACATTTGTGTCAGGTTTTTCCGGCTACTCTTAAATAACAAGCTCGAACCTGGTTTTACTCTCTGTCATGGGACACTGTAAACACCTTTAATGAGCTTGTCAGACTGTTTGTGGAACAGTTCATAGCAAACCAACGAATCATCAATGATTCATCTCATCTCTCGGGAATTCGTTAAAGCAAAGGAGAATCATTGAATGATTACTTCCGCAGGTTTTCAACTGAAGCCCGACAAATCTCGGGAGAAGATCCAGAGTTATTAAGAGGAGTCTTCCTTGGGGGGCTTCGCCCAGGACCTTTCTACTCATCGTTGATGCAGGAGACGGTTCATTCTTATGCTGACATTGTTCAGCATGTTGAGGCACAAATCTCTGCAGATGAGGTCATCATTGCTCATAAGGAACAATTTGAGCGATTGGGGGACAAGCGCAAGAATAATGCTGAGAATGCCAATCAAATCTTACAACGAAAAAAGTTTAGGCCACAAGGGAATCGTGAGCAACGATCAGAAAAAGAATACACGTCACTCAACACGTCACGTGTTAACATCTTAATGACAATCAAGGATGAAGAGACTGTCAAGTGGCCAAAGCCGTTAAAAAATCCAGATGGTGGAGATCAGTCTCAATATTGTCATTTTCACCGTGAAAAAGAACATTCAACAAAAAGATGTTTTCAATTAAAAGAAGAAATTGAATGTATAATACGCCAATGTCACCTAGGTCGTTACTTACAAGAACAAAGTGAGGGGAACCATAAGAGAACTGTTGGAGTTATTGAATAAGAGTTATCGAATGAGAAGTATAACTGCAACTCATATTATATGAGTAACAGACTCGCTTATAAACTTTTAATTTTATTTTAGCAAAATTTTTATGTTGCTTTAAAATACCATTTCAATGAAATTTTCTTATTTTCTCACGAAAAATTTATGTGTAGAAAGCCCCATTGAGGATGAGAAGCTACCATACCCCAGAAGCTACCGCTACCATACCCCTAAAAGTCAAGCCCAAGAGGCAAGACTCGACGGGAGGATATGGTACTCCTAAAAATCAAGTACAAGAGGCAAGACTCAATGAGAAGCTACCATACCCCTAGAAGACGAGCCCAAAAGGCAAGTTTCAATGGGAAGCTAGTTGTGGACAGGGTCCTCTCTAGAAAGACTCCATGAGAGCAAGTGGTTGACAGTGTCTCCACTCAAAAACCTCAGAAGGCTACAAGCCTCAGACGACATAGGTACACTCAAAGACCTCATAAGTCTACAAGCTTCAGAAGACACAGATACATCAAAGACCTCATAAGGCAACAAGACTCAGAAGACACAAGTGCATAAAAATTCCCAGAAGGCTACGAGCCTCAGAAGAACTTTGCACAATTAAGAAGCCACAACAACCGTGGAAGCAACAAAAAAAATACATCTACAATTGTCACAGGGCTACAACAAATCAGTTCATCGTCAATGAGCTCAAGATATCACCACCACATACGCATAAAAATTCCCCCCTCATGGCGAGGCTAGAAAACTACATCATTTCTTCATCATTTTCAAAACGTGCCAGAACAACATGAGAATCCCCTCCGGAATATGCGACACTCCACCACAATGTGTCGCGTGGTCGCGACACCCCGCCGCGACGCTTCGCCGCAACGTTTCGCTGCAACAGTTCGCCGCAACACTTCACCGCAATATTTTGCCGCAACTCTTCGCTGCAACTCGGCACCGCAACTCTTCGCCGCAACTCGACACTGCAACTCTTTGCCGCAACTCGGCGTTGCAGCTCTTTTTCGCAACTTGGTACCACAAAATTTCACTGTAACTCTACATCGCAACTCTGCGCCGCAATACTTCGCCGCAATATTTAGCCGCAACTCTTCACGGCAACTCGGCACCACAACTCTTCGTCGTAGCTCGACACTGTAACTCTTCGCTGCAACTCGGCGTCACAGCTCCTTTTGGCAACTTGGTACCACAACATTTCACCGTAACTCTGCATCGCAACTTTGCGCCGCAACGCTTCTCCGCAAGTCTCGCTGCAACTCTTCAACGCTACGCAAGACGATTTTCTTCTGAGAAATCTTGAATCAGCTGAAGACTCCATCCTTACCTTCTTTCATGACATTGGACGTCCAACGCATCGTGCCACTATGATATATCGCCAGCACGTCGTCGAGACACATTGCCACAACACGTCGCTGCGCTGCAACGCGTCGCCTCGACGCACCATCAAAATGCATCGCAACGCAGCAACGTGTCGCCGCTAAGCACCGTCGCAATGTGTCACGACATCACAACGCATTACTGCTATGCATCCTCGCGAAGCCCTGCCGCAACGCGTAGTCACGTGACGGGACGCTCTGCCGCGATGCATCACCGGGCGCTCCGTCGCAACGCTCCGCTGCCACGCATCGCGCACCCCGACGCCTTGCCACAACGCCCCATTGTGATGCTTCGCCCCGATGCTTTGTTGGAACCCGTTGCCTTGCCGCATCGCTCCGCCGCGACGCTCCACACAACACGTCGCCTCACTCTATCACGTTGCTTCGCCGCGACGCCCCGCCAAAAGCTTCGTTGCAACGCGTTGCCACAACACATCGCCGCAAAGCATCACGTCGCCCCGATGCCCCGTACCGCTGCGACGCGTCGCCGTGACTCTATCCCCTCTCCTTTAGCTCTATTTAAAGGCTGAAATGAGGATTGAGACATTAAATGCTCATTGATAAAAAAAAAATTAAAAAAAAAAATCGGCTCAAGCAGCTGTTCTTCGCGGATCCCACTTTGGCATCTGCTTCCACGCCGTTTGGAGTCCCCAAATTTAATTATGGTGGAGAAATTTCAGTTATGCATGTAATTAAAGTGGATTATTAAAACAAAAATTAAAGATTATCAAAGCTGTCAGCGCATTATATATATATATAAAATAATAATAATAATAATAATAATAATAATAAAGATAAAAAAAGAAAGAAAAATGAGTGTTTTAGATTTTAAAATTTTCGGACAATAAAAATAATCTCATTCGAAAGTAGGGAGGCAACTGATACGCTACCAACAAATTTTCATCATCCGACACGAATCTCAGCGCAATTTTTTGAACACGAAACATTCAAACTTTGATTAGGAGTCATCCGGAGCTCCGATTTCAGCAAACTTATAGTCAAACTGATCAACTCGATGAAATAGACCTAATGATATAAAAGTCAGTCCAATCCAAGTCAATCAAGCCCGAATCAAATCATTAAACCACTATTGGAGTATTTCCGGAGGCATTTGAAAAGTCAAAAAAATGTCAAATCTAGCGAGTTTATTGTCGAATCGAGCGTCTCGACAAGACGAATCCAACGAGCCCAAAATTGCTCAATTCCGACATTGTTAAGCTACTCAAATGTCCATCAAACCTCGTCTGATCAAGGGAAGCTATCTGGACCGTCCGATCAAAATAATTCATATTTCTGCAGTAATTGCACTCAAAATACCATAAATAGAGCATCGCCCCTAACATGAAAGGGGGAGACTTAAAAGAGAACTTGAGGTTTTGAGAAGGAGCTCAAGTCCAAGATCATTCTCGTTACGGTCGATCGTCGTCAACCACACCACCACTGACCGTCGACAACCAACGCTGACCTCTGTCGACCACCGCAGGCCACCGTTGATCGTCATCGATCACCGCTGACCTCAGTCGACCACCCCCGGACCGCCGACCGTCATCGATTATCGTCAACTACCGTCGATCACCACGTCGATCACCACCGACCTCCATCAACCACCGCTGACTAGACGTCGTCAGTTGACGTTGTAACTTGGAAAGCTAGTAACAATTCCCCTCTGTGGGACAAGGGGCATCTGTAATCATCAACTTATAGTGGTTTTTTACAACGGGTTAGACCCCGTGGTTTTTCTCCTTTACTGGTTTTCCACGTAAAAAGTTCTGGTGTTATCACAGCTTGATTTATTTTCATTTGAGTGTGTGCTGGATCCTCGCGTAACGCTAAGACGATAATCCATTAGTCTACCGCCGCGAATTTTCTAACACGCATAAATGTTGAACATTAAATAAATTTTTCTGAAAGATAATGATTGCTGTATATTTTCTAGCACGCATCAATTTATTGCTGGAAAGCTTGATAGGTAGTTTCCAATATGATCATAAGTTACTCAGACCTGATTTTGAACAATCTTCACGTTGTTTTTTAGTCAGAGCTTTGATTCTTTCCTTCTTTTCTCCTTCTTTCATTCTTTCTTCGTCAGCCTTTATATTACCTAACATTCAGAGCTCTCGAGGAAATCATTCCTGACTCAAGTCTCTCTCTCTCCCTCTGCCTCTCTCTCCGGTTCAGGAAGGAGATGGAAAGGCCAACGCCATGCTGCGAGAAGAATGGGCTGAGGAAAGGGAAATGGACAGAAGAAGAGGATGAGATATTGGTCAAGTACATAGCAGAGAATGGAGAAGGTTCCTGGAAATCGGTTGCAAAAAATACTGGTATCGACCAATCTGGCCATCTCTCTCTTTCTCTCGAATATTAGGAAGTATTTTAAATATATAACGTTTATGCGCTTGTAAGGTCTGCTGAGAGGCGGCAAGAGTTGCAGGTTAAGATGGATTAATTACCTAAAAGCTGGTGTTAAAAGAGGAAACTTCTCCAAGGAGGAGGAGGAGATTATCATCAAGTTTCAAGCTTCCTACGGAAACAGGTAAATGGGAGGTAGCGACATGAAAAAGAGAATAGAAAGATTTAACAGGTTCAAAATGTTGCCATGCAGGATTTATATATAATCGCATGAACGCAGCTCTATCTGATCTTAAAAGCTATATATGGCAAACCATATTGAGGGAGTGAGAACTAAAGCATTTAAAATTTTAAAAGGAGCGGAAGAAGAAGAAGAAACTGGAGATGCACGTTGCACGAAATTGTGAACAAGCATTGCAACAATCAAACTTAATTAGAAAATTTAGATTTATTAAAATGAAAATTTATGAATGAAAATTTGTGTGTCGGAATGGTCCACGAAGAACGGTTGAGTAATGAATTATGGTATTAGTTTTGCACGAAAATTCAATACAAACTCATGAGGTAATTAAAGAGAAGTAAACCACTTAGACATCAGTTGTGAGCCACGTAAGCCGTAGCAGTGAGCTGCAATAATGTAAGTAGGCCACAATGACCAGAATCGAGAGTTGCATGAGCTATAAGCCACATAAACCATGATTAGTCACGTAGGTCGTAGTGACATGCTACAATAAGAGATCCTTAGGAGTTCGAAGAAAGTCGCCGCCTTCGAGGTGCATTGCTACACCATCTTTGAGATGTGTCGCTGCACCATTTGTGAGTGATGTTGTTACATCATCATCGGGGTTTGTCGTCACACCATGTATGGAATGTGTTGTTACACTGTTATTAAGGGGCATCGTTGCACTGGATTCGGTGTCCATTTTTACGCAGTTTTTGGGAGGCATCGTTGCACTGTATGTGGGGCGGGGCACGTTGTTATACTGTGATCGATGTATGTCATTACACTGTCTTCAGAGTGTGTTGTTACACAATCATCGGGGTACGTCGCCACATTATATGTGAGGTGCACTATCACACTATCATGGGGAGGTGTCATTTCCGGTTGTAGGAAACCTTAGCAATGAGGACTAACTGCTCAAGTTAAGGGTGGCTCAAGCTAAAGTTGACTTGTTTACATCCCTAAGTTTAGTTTTACAATCATATATTTGTCGCATGTGAACTACATTTTTTTAGTTTAGAAGAAAATTTAATGTACATTTCATATGAGCATAAAAATGAAACTCATCTAACAACTAATGAAAAGAATAGCTTTAAAAATAAATTCAATTACACTTACTATAGTAATTAGACGGATTATGTATAATTAATATAATAAAGACAAATAAAAAATACATTCGAATAATTCGTCTAATTACATGACTACAACAATTACTTATAGTTACCTCTTTTGACTATAATGTTATGCATTAAAATAAATTTTAATATGCCCAGGATGCTTTAACTATTTTATTTGGATGTTGAAGGAGATCAACATGATAGATAATCTTGCACTAAATTTTAAAATACTAGAAAAATAGTTTTCAAATTAGGTTTAACTTTATAAGCAATTGTTATTTTGACCCACAATTAATGAACTAAGGTAAAAGGGCAATTTTGTAATGTGGCACCGCCACCTACCACATCTCACCTACCGCTCACCTACCGGCCACCTACCACCCACCTACCACCCACCTACCTCCCACCTACCACTCTCTTGCTTCTATAAATAGAGAGGGTGTGAGGCCTAGGAGAGCAAGGGAGAAGATATCTTGAGCTACCACAAAGGAGGAGAGAATAGCTATAGAGTTAGAGAGGAGGAGAGCATCTTGAGGCCTTGTATCAAGGTGTCGCTTGAGAGGGAGGCCATCGAAGGAAGATGAGGGCTCATCTTTATGTATAAGCTATGTATTCTCCATTTCTTTTGCCTTAGTGAAATATTTGATTGATTCCCTCCCGTGGACGTAGATCCAGTTGGATCGAACCACGTAAACGATCTGTGTTTGCTTGTGTTCTTTTTCGTCTCATTTCTATGTCAGGAAGTACATATCTATATATTTCTGAGAGGCTACTTCTTGGCTAGAGGTGTCCGCGTAAAGGTGTTCGCGGCCAGCGACGAAGAAGAGGAGTTCGGCATTCACGAATAGAGGAGCAAGCAGATCGCGTCACAGGCAGCAGAATTGTGACAGATTCGGTGAGCAGTGGAAGCTTT